CGTCGTGGTCTTGCCTCCTACTTTCATCGTTAACTGGTCCGCTCCCTTGTGAATATCTCAGGCTTGGTTCTGCGACCTCGTCCAATATTACTGCATTAGTCCCATAGACTAGCGAATATAGTGTTTCTCCTGTGCTTGTTTTTGGCGTTGTGCGCTATTCCCATAGCACTTCCAGCAGCAATTCCGGCCACAGTCCCTTGGCATTATCGAGCTTCTTTTTCATGATGTTCAATATTGATTTGTTGGAGGACTGCGCCTGACCGTTGCCCGCAGGGTGATATGGCGTGGAGAGTATTCTTTTGATGTGCCATTTTTCAAAGAACTCGACGATCTTTTTTTCCAGTGAACTGGGGTCCATTGTCACATTGATTTCTTTGGGGATGCCGAAGCGGCATATGATGTTCCTCCATATGAATGTGATCACTTCTTGCTCGCGTATTTGGGCAAATGCATAGTCAGTTAAAACTAAAAGAAATCGTACATTACCTCATTCCGCTGGGAGGGGTCCGAGGATGTCCATTCCCCATTTATTGAAAGTCCAGGGCGAGGTGGCTGAGTGGAGGTTCTCACCCGCTTGGTGAATCATGGGGGCATACTTTTGGCATTGCTCGCATTTTCTTACGAAGTCGGCGGCCTCCTTTTTCATCGTGGGCCAGTAGTAGCCCGCTCATATGAGGCATCTGACGAGTGCTCGATTGCCGGTATGAGCTCCGCAGTGACCTTCGTGTACTTCTTCGAGGACGCACCGCATTTGATTTGGTCCTAAGAATTTTTCTATGGGGTCGCCATGCGTTCTTTTGTATAAGTCGTTGTTGATGAGTTGTACGTGGCCGCCTGCATTCGAAGCTTCTTGGCTTCTTTTTTATCGGGTGGGAGCACTCCGTCCTGCAAATATGAGATAATACGATTGAGCCACTCCCAAGTCAAGTTTAGAGTTCGTACCTCGATTTGGTCGGTAGATGAATGGAGGAGAGTGACAACGTTCCCTTCTCTGGATATGCTTTTGGTGGCCGCTGCCAGTTTGGAGAGGCCGTCCGCTTCGATGTTCTACGCTCGAGGTATTTGATCGAGCTGGCATTCGTCGAACTCGGGTAACAGTTTGCAAATTTTGGCCTGGTATTTTTGTAGCCGTTGTTCATTGATTTGGAAAGTCCCTATGACTTGGTTGACGACGAGTTGTGATCGCATCGTAGGACTACTCGTCGCGCTCCATACTTGAGTGCCAATTTTAACCTTGCAATCACGACCTCATACTCGGCCTCAATGTTAGTCATATCACGGCACCGTATAGGCTGACAAACTATTTCGCTTGTTGGGACCTCGATCACGAGTCCTAGTCCAGATCCTGGTGTACAGAACCCATTGGTCATGCATTTTGGTGGAAGTACTGGCGGTCTCCCTTTCGATTTCGGGCATTATCTTTGCACTAAAGTCGGCGGCGAAGTCGGCAAGTACTTGCGTCATTATCGCCGTTCGCGGCTGATAGGTTATATCGTGCTCGCTCAGCTCTATGGCCCATCTGGCCAATCTGCCCAAGTGCTCGGGTCAGATCTCATCTTCTATGGCCATTTCACTTTTGGGTTGATCTTCTCTAGTCCGTAGACTATTTCTGAGGGGGAAACACAAAAATTGTGAGCAGATATAAAGGGGGCATACCTCTCTCATTTCGGTGGATTCCCGATCGCGACCTGGATGGACCTTCATCGTGGTGTGGAGGTGGCATGAGGGCGCCTCTGACGTAAGGTTGATGTCTCTCCCGATTAGGTCGGGATCCCACTAGATCTCTCTTGTTGTCGTTTCTCCGGTCCTTCCTGGACTCCATTTGAACTGAGGTCAACCGTTGGGTAGGTCCATTGAGATTGTCCTCGTCGGCTCTTACCTCGGCACAGTAGGCGTTGTGTATCTCGTCCGAAGTGGTTGGAGGGTATTTCACGATTCTTCTTAGCAACTTTTTGGCCGCCCTCGACCCACTTCTGCACAACCCATTTTGGAAAGCGGCTACCGCCATCCCTTTAGATACATTTGGAAGGGTCCTTCTTACACGGTTGAACCGGGCAAGAAAGTCCCTGAGTCCTTCGCCAGGTGATTGCTTAATGGCGAATATGTCATTCACCCTCGCCTCTGCTTTATTTAGCCCCGGCGTGGGCGGTGACGAACTTGTCTGCCATTTCCTCGAACGTTTCTATGTAACGCGCGGGTAACTGCGAGTACCAAGTCAGTGCTCCCCCGATTAGGGTTTCTCCAAACTTCTTCAGCAATATAGATGATACTTGTTCTTTGGCGAGGTCGTTGCCTTTCACTGCAGTGACATAGTAGGTCACATGATCCTCCGGGTCTGTCGTACCATCGTATAATTTTAAGTACGGCGGCATCTTGAAGGTCTTTGGTATGGCGTGCGGTGCAGCCTCGTCGCTATATGGCTGCTCAACAAACCAACCGGCGTCCTTTTTTGGCAGAAGTTTCGGGGCACCCGGTATTTTGTCTACCCTCTCTTGTTGCTCTTTCATTTGGTTGCAGAGCATTTTGTTATCGTTCTCCATCTCCTCCATTTTCCTCAAAATGGTTGTGAGGATGTCATTGCGTGCATCACTAACATTGTGAGTAATACTTGTTGCAGGGGGGCTTGCAACTCGTCAGTTGCCGATGCAATGCCGTCCCTTGATCTTCTCTACTCGACCTCCGAGCGGGCTTGTCGAGGAAGCCAGTTAGCGTGTTTGTCATGCCTCAAGTAGCATTGTCACTGCTGGTGGTGCCTCCTCTGTCGTGGATGTAGAGGCCCCCTTACTGTGCGAGGTCGTGATGCTTCCGTGAGGTGGAGTCGAGTTGTTTCGCCTGGGAGAGGCGTTTGGTGTTATATTTCGCCCTCCGTTTTCGTCCACTTCGTTGATGGTGTGGAGGAGGTTAGTGGTGAGGTCGGCTATCGCCTTCCTCTTTTCCTCTTCGTTGCCTGCCATATTAGATTTGTGCAAACAAGGAAGTATAGGGTCTTTGCAAAGTTTTTTTTCGATTTAGAAGAAACTAAAATTTTTAACTAGAAAATTCCCCATAGACGGCGCCAAACGTTTGACCAAAAAGTTTTAAGCCTTTTTGTTAAACTAATTAAATACGAAAGTAGTGGGTAAATCCTAGTTAAACACTACAAATCCTAGATTTGAAACCGGTTATACAAATAACGCAGAATTGCATTTAAACCAATTTAATGCAATGGGTGTTAGATGGCACATTTACAAGTATGTGGTGGGGCAATGATGAGCAATAAATATAATAAATGGCAACGAATGTAAATAGAGAGAATGATTCACCCAAATATTGAGTGAGGTGGATTATTCTCTCCAACAATGATGTAATATAAACAAACGTGGGAATACATGAGGCTTTCTCGGATCTGATGCGAGAAAGTATGAGATGAACAACAAATCCAATCTTTATGGAAAGGCAAGATTTGTAATTTACTTGAGAGTCAACTTTTCATGAGAGAGCTTATCATATAGAGTATTACATACCCCCTTCTTCTCTCTCTATTCCCTTTATATGGGACATCTCCTACCTAACTGAAAGTACAAGTGCAGAGAATATTCTGTGGAATATTCCCCTAAAATATCTTACTACTAAACTAGCCGTTAGGACCGATCTGAATACTCGACCTCGACCCCAGCTACTCAGCTCGCCAATAGGTTCCTTCCATCTTGAGCACGACCTCGGCCTAATCGGCTCTTAGCAATCCTCTCTTGGACAAGATTCCCTTGATCAGATTTTGACTCATGCAACAATCATGAGAAATTAATTTTCTTCACCTGCCTAAATTTTAGTAATTAGAGTTAGTCGATACATATGGTAACAAAGTTGATCAAAATACCACCGTTATTAAAAAAATATTGATTATTCAATAATATGAAATTCATTGCATGATCACCTAATTACTTAATTTGTTGACATGGGAGGAGCATGTATCATCGTTAAAGATCCTATATAACCTAAAGTAACTATGATTATTCCACCTAAAGATCTCATATGCTATTATTCGAAATAAGCGACATATCATTAGCAACGTTTTAGCAATGTTCATGAATATGATGTTTCAATTGACCTTCCCGCTCTCATTCCCTTGTTTGTCCCTTGTCTTTTATGTCAAGATTCTTAGATAAAACTTAGGTTTATACGGATTGTCGGAAAGAGTTAAATGCAAGATTTTTTTTTTAAATTCACTTAGATTCTTAAAGAATATTGAGAATAACTAGGTTTAATCCAAATCTCTTTTGCAACCCCAAATTTGAACCCAAAGTGCTAATATAAGCAGACAAATTTTACCATGATCTTGTTATCTAGGTATATTTACGTACATATTCTTTTGATATAATTGTTTTAGTTTAATTTCTAAAAGTTTCTTAGTCACATATACAAATTTTTGACAACAATATACTAATACTCTGATATACTTAACTAAGCCTTACATCAATCAGAAGGATTCCAAAGTGCTAGAGCTATAATTGTACAATAAAAACTACGACTCCCTCCGTTCCATTTTAACTATCGTTTTAGTTCAAAAAATTTGTCCAAAATAACTGATACTTTAGGATTTCAAGACTAAATTTGTTAGTTGTTTTCGACAATACCCTTAATATTAATGAAGTATTAGTTCTTTTTAATACTATTGATTCTCAAAATACATTTAATATGAGTAACTAAGTAAACGATATTATATATTTATTAATTTTTTTAATGGAGGTAAAAAGAGCTAAAACAACGATTAAAATGGGACGGAAGTAGTATTATTGAATTTGAGAATTAAAGAGATCCAAATTGCCATAGCTAAAGAATGTTAAAGCCTTAAAGAAGTGGAATGACAAAAGAGAGCTGTGCTGTCAAGAATGGTAGTTGGGGGATGAGAAGGTGACCAAACTACTACTACATCCATCATTTTGTCCCATTTTCCTACTTAATTATTGCACTATAATTAATACTCCAACACCAAATTAACCCCTAACTTGCCCTTTTACCGCCTAATAAATCTTTTCCTACTTTGTTTAAAACTTATCCAAAAATCAAAATCCCCCCAATAAAAGAAAAGCCCCCATTATTATGAAATAAGGCATCTTTTACTTGTCTTGTTAAACCTTAACACCAAGAATCTTGCATTTATCACAATTCACATTTTTCTTGTTCTTAGTATAATGCCATTAACTGTTTCCACGTAAAAATTAAACTGGGTCGATCTTATTTTAGTTCAAAGGTACCATCTTTCACACTTTTCCATACTTTTCATTATATATTCGAGTAAGATTACTCTATCCTCTCCTACAAGCAAAGTTGTTAACTTTTCTTTATTCTTTTTTGGGTTTGTGGGTTTCTGTGTAGATCCGTTCTCAAAATGGGGTTTCTTCAGAGTAGTTGTACTAACTCTGTGGAACCTTTTTACAGCTCAAAGACTCAACCTTTAGCCAGTACTGATACTGATAATAACTATTGTGGGTATGATGAATTAAAAATCAAATCTTTAATTTACAGAATGATTTGGGATTTTGGGTTGGCCTGTTTTATTCCGACTTGTCGGCGGCGAACTTCCGGCGAGGATAACGGTGATAAGGATAAAGCTGTTGTTAGCAGCAGTTTGGAGCATAATAAAGCTTGGTTACTTGCTGAGTCAGGAGCTTGTGGTACTGAGTTATTTAATGCTGAGCCACATTCACTTCACTCCTCTTTTAGGTTCAGTTTTTGCTCTCAGGTTGAGCTTGAGTCTATGAATATGAATAGATGTTCCTCTGCTACTGTTTTGATGGTGAATTTGGATAATGGGTTGACTGATCCACTGTCCAGAGAGCTAAAATGGAGGAAAATTCAATCACTTGAGAGAAGTATTTCTCCTGTGACTCATTCTTTGATTAGGTTCACCTATGCTGAGATTGCTTCTGCTACTCGCTATTTTTCTAAAGGTACTCAAAACTGGTTATGTTCAAATTCTGGCCTTTCTTTATTTTCAATTTATGTGATGTTGATTTGTTTTTGTTTTCTTGAATTGGGTAGGTAGAGTTTTGGGAAGAGGAGCATTGAGTTATGTATTCAGAGGAAGAGTGGGATTTATGAGGACTAGTGTTGCTATTAAGAGGTTAGATAGGGAAGATAAGGAATCTCCAAAGGCATTCTGTAGGGAATTGATGATTGCTAGTTCTCTTCATAACCCATACATTGTTCCTTTGGTTGGATTTTGCATTGATCCAGAGGAGGGTTTCTTTTTGGTCTACAAGTATGTATCTGGTGGAAGTTTAGAGCGGTATTTACATGGTAAGAATACTTGGTTTTCTTTTCATTTTAATAAGAATACAACTTGTTTGAGATTAAGATATATAGAGTTTGATTCACAGAGAAGAAGAGGGGAGTGAAAGGCGGTCCAGCACTTCCATGGTCTACGCGGTATAAGGTGGCCGTAGGCATAGCAGAGTCAATAGGGTATTTGCATTATGGAACTGAGAGGTGTGTTGTTCATAGGGACATTAAGCCCTCCAACATTCTTCTATCATCCAAGAAAATACCCAAGGTAATGAAAGGAACATTCATATTTAACAGCTCAAATTGGTTGTTCTTCTTCTGGTCGATTCTGTAATTTAATCCTTATGTTGACTTATATGCAGTTGTGTGACTTTGGCTTAGCTACATGGACTCCTTCACCTTCGGTACCTTTCCTTTGTAAAACAGTTAAAGGAACATTCGGGTATAATTTCTATCTTGATAACTCTTAGGCATGACTATGAATAACGTCCTCGCGTTGCTTGGCAGTAAAGAACATCCCTATATTTATGATATTTGAATTACATTTGCAGGTATTTAGCTCCCGAATATTTTCAGCACGGTAAAATATCAGATAAAACTGATGTCTATGCCTTTGGAGTTGTCCTCCTGGAGCTACTAACTGGAAGGAAGCCAATTGAAGCGAAAAGAGGACCAGGAGAAGAAAACTTGGTGTTGTGGGTAGGTTCTTGCTTTAATTTCTTCCAAGCTGTCTTCGCTTATCTTTATTTTGGATAGTTAAATCAGTCCGGCTCCATTTGTTGGTATTTGTTAATGCAAGCATATAGATTATCCACCATAATTTCTGCCAAGGATGTCTCTAGTGTGAATTTTTTTAATAAAGCCAGTAATCTGTGATAACCTGTCTCTTTTCCTTTCTTCTATTTGATTTTAAATAGCGCTTTCTGTTTTGCTGATGTTTGGAGATTTTCTGTTCTAAATAGTCACTGTCGCAAAGAAAATATGGTCTTTAGAATAGTATGTTCTGTTCTATTGGTAGGCTGTTCAAGCTCTCTGATGCACACCACCGAGACATCCTGTGATTTATGACACTTTGAAGGAAGAAACCTTGTGTCGAGCTTTATATATATATATATATATATATATTATACAATTACAATCAATTTGACCAGTTCATGCATGAGTCGGTGCGCGTGTGAAGTAATCAGATTCAATACACTGACGATGATAAGACTCTAGGCATAAAAATTTGGCAATGATTTGGACCATCTATCCTTGTGTTATTACCAGCATAACAATTTAGACCCTTTTTTGTTCTTTTTGACAAGATTTGGACGTTAAAATCGTCTTCTTTGTTGTTTTCAGGCAAAGCCTCTAATGCAGCAAGGAGCTCTTGAAAAGTTTCTTGATCCAAGACTCAAATTCCCTCAGAAGAATCTACAACAAATAGCTCGGATGACACAAGCAGCAGCTGCATGCATACACAATGAAGAGTCTCGAAGGTCCAATATGGACGAGATCATTGCCATATTGAGAGGCACAGAACCTCGTTCCACGACCAGAAAGAAGTCTATTTCACGCAGTAATAGTTGTATGATTGAGTGTTATCCCCAATTGCAACGGACAAAAAGTGAAATGAAGAGTCACTTGGCCTTGGCAATGTTAGGAGTTCCTGACTTCGAGGATGATGATTTTTATTGTCGTTGACATGAAAACAATGAATTTGATTTTTTCTTTTTCCTCACCCCATTCTACTTGAAATGGGATATTATAGTGTGACAACTGATAAGGCTAAGCTCATTTAACTTGTAGATAGAGAAGTGGTGGTCTGATTGAAGAATACACTGTTTGTATATATTTGTCCCTGATTTTGGTGGGAAAAATATGGCAGGTTCTGTTTTGTATGATCTCATAAAGAAGGTTGTGAATTGTTTTCTGGCATGATTTTACTTCTTTCCATGAGTGTAAGTTAAGACTTTCATTGGTTATTTAAATGTACTGTGTTTTAGCTAGTTTTGTACCGTGAAGTTGCTTGCTTTGGCCTGTAGTTTGGTGAAGCAAGGGTAAAAAGAAGGGCCTTTTTGCTTTGAGATTTCTCAGTTTGGGGCCCGTTTGCCCATAAATTTTTTTCACTTTTTCCGGAATTTTTACTTTTTTTCGAAATAAGTGTTTGGTCATAATATTTTTAATTTTCACGTGAAGATGAATTTTGAAAATTTAAAAAATTCCAAAAAGCTGGTTTTCAAAATTCACTTCAGATCACTCACAAAAATTCAAAAACAACCCAAAATTGTATTCATGTCCAAACACAACTCTAATTTTCAAAAATCATTTTCACTTTAAAAAAAATTCACTTTTGTCGGAATTTTACAATTCTTATGTCCAAACGCCCACTTAGTAATTCCGGTCAATCAAACCTTTTTCTTTCCGGTAACCGAGAACCGTTGCCCTATTTGTCAACGCTAAATTAATCGGAGTAGTTTATGACAATCTACAGTAGGCCACCAAATTTAAATTTAATTAGTTAGTAAATTTGTTGAACACAACTCTTATTGGGTATTTAATGTATAGGAAGTTGACAACATATTGTCTTCATGCCATTCTTTTTTCCTATTGATGGTGTTTATTAATAAAACAAAAGTTGATCAATCAATTTCAGTATTAGGTATTTAAGAAAAGATATAGTTCAGAAAGTACAACCATTATGCCACGAACAATGAATAAAATTAGGTCACCTTTACATTATTTGTGATTTGCTAAGATAACGACAGCTAAACTCTCACATAGGACCCAAATAATGAAATATCTTGTCATAATACAGGGCAGAAAAACTTGTAGTTCAATGTTGTTGACCCACGTTGCCTAAATTTTATTTAAACCAAACATTTAGAACCAACCAAATAATTTAGAACCAAAAAAAAAAAAAATTATACACACAATCCACCTCAACATTAATGATGTAAGGAATATGAGGTAACTATACAGTTTAACTAAGTTAAAGGTTTTCTCCAAGGGAAACAAGAAAAGGAAAAGCCAAGACATTCGAAAGTGACATATATCAAAATGTAGGAAGAATATTCAATTATATCAACTGTAGAAGCGAATCCAGAATTTAGAATTAGCAGGTTCAAAATGAGTATAATCTTATTATATGTATACATTTTAAATCTTTTTTGCATATGCATACATAGTATGAGCTGAAAACAATGAATGCGGTTAAACTCGTAGAACCCACTCTAAATCCGCTTCTAATGGTAAGGCGTGTGCATCAAGAAAGCTAGAATACTTTAGCAACATCCTTAATCAAACCTCTATTGGCTCGAGCAAATTCTTCGAATTCTTCATAAGAAATAAAGCCATCCCCATCAGTGTCAAGTTCAGCCATCATATGTTGGACTTCTTCAGAAGTTACAGAGCCTAACATTTTCAAGGTTTCTCCAAGTTCTGCTGAAGAGATTTTGCCATCACCATTTAAATCAAAACGCTTAAAAATTCGTTCGCGATCAGCTATGTCTTGTGGATCTTCAGCCATTCTTTGGTTTGTTTTTTTGCCTTTTTTGTGATGGTTACAACACAGGCAAAGTTGGTTATCTTTGAGAGTTTGATTTTGGACACAGAGATCCGAAAAATGAGTGCCAATTTGGGTTATAAAGAGGTCTTCATCCAAGCATATATGGTCACCCTTAGCCTTAGGACACGGGCTTTGTGTAATTTTATGGTCTCTATAAAACTTTGCAACAACTAATCTGTTTTGTTTATACTTTGTGGAAGGAGATAAAAGTGACACCAAAAACAGACGATGACAACACTTTGACGCCTCAAAATTGCGTACAATTGGGAAAAGAAAAAATAGTTGAAAGATTGGGGGGGGGGGGGGGGTGAGGGGAAAGTTAACCAAATATGAAACATATCCCTTCTTATTATTTACTCTCTCCGGTCCACGACACGTGACCAATTTGCTTTGGATGGAGTATAAAAGTTTTATGGGGTCCTATGAATTATTAGTGCGTAGTAGCATTTGATTTATAGTAGGTCAGATGTATTATTGTCCAACAGTAAATAACAACAGCCCTCAACAGTATTTTTAGTTTCAGTATGTTTGATTTATTATTTTTCAAACAAGAAAAATAAATCTTCCTTTACTAAATAAATAGTTTAGACGTCAATTATTAATGATCTGAAACCAAAAATTAGCTTTCTTAGGTGCTTGTCCAAAAGTGATAATTAATTTGTGAGGTCACAAGATTCACCAGTGTCCAAAAGTGATAATTAATTTGTGAGGTCACAATTTCATGTTGTAAAAACCGGAGCATATTATCTTGTATACTCTTTTTTCCTTTTAATGATAAGCTAATCTTATATATTTCTAAATAACAATGACAAATAGGGACAATTTGGACATTTGACGTCCGAAAACATAAAATCGGGTATCTGTATAATGTCTGTAATGCATTTTGAAACATATGCTATCCCTAGATCTCTCTGATGTACTACGAAGCAAAATCAGTTAATTTTCATGTATCAGAAATAGGATAATAACCAAACTGTCAATGCTAATCAAACACTGTTGACAGACATAATTCCAGAATGAAACGAAAGTATATCTGAATATGACAAGCAAAATGACAATGAATCGAACACAATTGACAGACAACAATTCAGATTTGCGAATGAAAGCATGCAGTATCCTGATGAATTCAACACTGATATTACACGTGATTAATAATGTGGTTATGAGCATCAGCATATTCGTCATAAATTATTACCAACTTTTTTTTTGGACCTGTTTTCAGGTTTCTGTCAACACTCTTCTTCTAGACAAACTCAATAAATGATATGTTTTTGCCCTACAAAAATTTATGCAGGAGAACTGATGGCACAACTTCACAAGCATTTAAATGACAACTGATTATTAGGTCGGATGATATTATGAAACTGACTTGAGCAAGGAATTCAACACAACTTCTCTTGTTGGCAAAGCTGGAATTGCTCCTCTCTCCATCACAGTCAATGCACCGCAAGCATTAGCAAAACAAAGGGCATCTCGAAGTTTGTCCTCATCCTAAGAAATTCAGATTCACAATTAGCATTAAAGAGGATATGCACATTGTAATGAAGTATAAAGCGCAACTCCAGAACACAATTGTCGAAATTGTGATTTTTTCAGCTGCCTTATATCACTGGATGCATATGCAAATTAATTATTTAGGCTACTAATTAACAAGAGGTTTCAATTAAACAGTAGAATATCCACACTATAATTAAATCATAAATGTAATTCAATGTTATTATACTGAGGACACCCATCTAGTGCACAAACAAGAAACAGCATCAAAATCTTTTTGCTCATTAGATAACATGATATGAGAAACCATATAGAGAGTAAAGAATGTAAAGTAGCAGCCAGTAGAATGTCAGTATAGAGGAAAGTAGAACTACAGAACATTATTAGATTACAACAAACCCAGTATAATCCCAGAAGTGGGGTATGGGGAGGGTAGTGAGTATGCAGACCTTACCCCTACCGTGAATGTAGAGAGGTTGTTTCCAACAGACCCTCGGCACAAGGAACAGAACATTATTAGATTAAATACAAACAAGCCTTACCTGAAGCAGTGAGACATTAGATGCTAGCTGTGACAATATTCCAGCTACAAAAGCATCTCCAGCGCCAGTGGTGTCTACAGCATCCACCTTTAGACCCTTAACTCGCCCACTGAAATCCTGTTTTGCATCATTCAAGCAACTTCAGAGAATTTATTTTTTCTATCTCTTTCATATATAGCATATAACTGGAAAATCAGTAGGTGCACAATTATCAGCTTCGTGACTGATTTAGAGATTTGGCCTAAAAATGGACAAAATTCTAATACTTTTAAACCTGCTCCCATGCAGTTTATGTGCCACTTGAGCAGGAACAAGCTAACAAATATTAACCAGCTTGACGAAGACCAATAGATCTCAGACAACCTCTAATGAAGTTTTCAAGAAAATAGAAAAAAATAGCAGTCATACTGTTTCAGATCATGAATCACGAAAAGGAACAGAACAAAGAATCTATTGATAGCAGCTTCGCAGGACAAGGGATTCTTAGTAGTATATACTTTGACATGTATCACAGAGCAATGGATTATGGTCCTTTGCAATGAATTGATTTTGATGTCACATTAATCATTCAAGCAACGGGTGAATCAACTCTAACAGAAATCAATAATATTTCTATTAAGCTAAGGATTGGCTGGATAGCATTTATAAAGGGCACAGCATCTTTTTTTTTTTGGGATATGTTATAAAGGACACAGCATCTATATGCGCATTTCTCGATAATCCTGTAGCAGATTGTACATTTTATAAATGTGGTACTCCCAAATAGTTTAAAAAGGTATGATTCAACAAAATGGATATTACATCTTAAGATAGGATTGAATACAGAGATATTATAACTTCTTGATAAAGGGTTACAGAATCATTTGATTAAACACATCGATTTGTGTAGACTGCAGAGTAGAATGCAGTTAGAAGCTTACCTTGGTGTAATATCGGCAACCTTCTGGGCCTTCTGTGACGAGAAGTAACTTGAGATTTGGATGGTACAGCTTCCGAACAACATTATCATCATAAGGATCTTCTCCATGTGTCAAAAACGAAATCTCTTCTTCACTTATCTGGTGATAACAAGCAGCTGAAACATCAGATGTAACATTCCATTTGAAAGTTCAGACTTTTAAGTTCGCCCAGACCCCACGGTGTGGGATATTACTGGGTATGTTGTTGTTAGACTTTTAAGTTCGACTCTCTTGCAAGACTAATGATACTGTCATTAACGAGTCATATTTAATATTTCACATTGGACACCTGAAAACAAGTACCTTAATTATATCAGCAGTTTCCCATATGCTAAGGATTCCTTCTCTAGCACTTCCCGCAGATGGCCACAGTGGAAGCCTCAAATTTGGATCATAGGACAAGATTACACCAGCATCCTTCGCAGCTCTTGTAGCTGCGATATGGGCTGATTTGCATGGCTCTGTAATCAGACTTATGGAGCCGTAATGAAAAATTTTTGCCTGCAAACAGGGTATAGGAATCATCGGGTATCACTATCAAGTTGACTATCCAAATATAACATAGTACTGAGGGTCCACCAGAAATAGCAGAAGGGATGTAAAGTATCAATAATGAAACTGTGCAATAAGGAAAGCTAAATCATAGAGAAACATTTTTAAAGATTGGCTGACTTGTAGAGAAACATGCTTTCACGACAGCATACAAGTTGCTTACATACTTCTCAAATAAGATGGTTTCCAAAATATCTGAAGAACTGGACTGTAAAGGTACACTTAGAACCAAATCATGAACTATGTAAGGTTTTTAATAATAAATAGCATATACAAAATAAGAAAAAGTCGTTCTTAAGAGAAGTAACAAAGAGGACCAATACATAAACTTTTACCATTGGAACATGTAAGTAACAAGACTAAAGACTCCTTGTATGGTCTCATCGTTAAAGATTATGATCTTAATTTTTTCTTGCTTTAATGAAACTTTGAAATACTTCTTTTTTCGAGGATAAAAGAACTTCATATACCTTCCTGATCAACTCTAAATCGAGTTCATCCTCTTGAAGCAACATATCAGCACTCGGGTTACGATAGAACATAAATTCACGCTCTCCATCCTTTCTCAGTGTTACAAATGCTAAAGCAGTACGAGCACCTGGATCAAAGCGCATTCCATCATTATTGACGTTGTTCTCCTTCAAAATATCAGCAAGCATGTAGCCAAATTCGTCATCACCAACCTGCGCAGGATTACAAGAATATATCATAAAATACTTACATGTTTTTTTTCTAATTGATTTCTGTCTCACATATTTTTAATAGATCATTTTCATTTTCACATATTTTTTCTAATTTATGTTCTCAAATCAGCAAAGGAAACAAATGAAGGAGCTAACTTGATGCGGTAATTAATATGAATCCTCAACAATCAGTCAAATTTTCAAAAATTGACAGGGCAGGAAGGAAGATGACTCTGCTGGATATTAAGATGAGTTTCCTAATTCCATAATTCATATGCATTAGTCCAGAATAGAGAGTCCCGGATGAGGAAAAATCTGTTTCTTGCTAAAGTTATATGCTAAGTAATATAATCTCAGCTTTAAAATAAGTACACGAAAGAAGGTAGTTAACATGTGTATCACCCAGATCACCATTGTACTTTGGAGCAATTAATGTTTCCTCAGCAAGTGTGGCAGAGACTTAAATTAGATGTAATGCAATATCAAGCATGCATTATAGATTGATAGTTCCTACGTTGTGAATAGTCTGGAGCTCCTAAAGCCGCTTGGTGACTTAAAACGTTTCTAGGAAACAGAAGTTGACATATGTTTGAATAGAGACAACAAAACAATAACAAACAGTTGCCTAATCCGGCAGCCTGGAATGGTGCTTAGGAAGAAAATAAAAATAGATAGTCAACAATAATTAGCGAGATGTCAAATCCAAAACATACTTGATAAAGAAGCTAGGTCCCTGTACACTTGTTGAACTGACAAAATCTATGTACCATTACAATTATTCAAACCTATGTTTAGCACATCGAGTTCAGAAAGACTATAAAAAACGTAAGCAAATAGTATACCTTCCCAATGAAAGCTGAGGAACCACCAAGACGGGAAATGCCAACAGCAACATTAGCTGGAGCACCACCAGGAGCCTTTTTAAATGCAGGTGCTTCAGCTAACGACAGCCCACTTGTGGTTGGAACGAAATCAATGAGCATTTCTCCAAAGCATACAACAAGTGAAGATTCATCCTTATCCAAAGGCCCATTGTCGCTTGGCAATGCTCTTCCTTAAGTAATAATTGTAGAAGAAAAAAGCATAAATACAAAAAGTAGGTAGCAAATTCTATACACAGAAGAAATGATCATACTGCAGGCCTTGCAATGTCATAGTTCACAATTACGGTATCAAAGACAGTTCAAATTTACAAATCAATATGAGCACCTTTTAGATTTTCAATACGCATATCTAAATCAGTCCGAGAATATGCTGAATTGCACTGTGTACAGATGAAAAATAACTAAAATAGAAAATAATTAGTAAAATTTAAAAGAAGAAACACCTTGAAGTTTGCATCGAGGAAAGAAGGGCAGAGAGGGGGATAGAAAAGGTGCTGGTTTCACAGTGCATCTTGTAGGGGCAGGGAAACTTCTAGAAGCTTGACTTGTAGTGGAAACTCCAGTGAAGCAGAAAGTAGGAGAATGCAGAAGAGCCATATGTATATATGAGGTTTTAAAGAATAGTAGAAAGGGTATAGAGTGTTTGATGTGAGAAACTAGTTGAGATAGTGAATTTCAAATTGAAACCCTAATACAGTTACATCAGGCGTTAGATTTCAGCAACGGTGCAGCGTTGGAGTAATCGTTGGAAACTTGGAATTTGCAGACAATAAACCCTGATTTTCGGAAGAATTGAAGCAGTTGTTCTGTTCCAGTAGTGGGGGAAACAGTGTAAAGCAGCGGAGAAAGCAAAGACCAACGAGGGAAAATTAGGTAAAACACAAGGACCTCTAGTTTATCCTTTGTCAGCTGCAAATCATGATTTACCTATCACTTAATTGGTGATGTGGATTTTGTAGGCATGTAAAATTTATTGGATTCAAATTCAATAAATAACTTGAATTATATTTTAAATATATTAATCTAAATAAATATTATGAGCTATTATAATTAAATTAATTATATAAGTCCAATATATATGGATTAAATAAATAAGCCTTAATCTATTGGGCTAACCCATTTAATTGGGCTAAAGTAATGAGCGCACTTCCTTAGGCCCAATATGCTATCTTCCTAGAGGCCCAGTTTGGTGTCACATGTCATATGACGTGGCACGCCAAGTCAAGCGGAAGAGCCAATAGGATCATGCCACGTGTCAAAATGACAAGGCATGCCAAGTCAAATTAAAGGGCCAATGAAATCGTGTCACGTGTGCAAGTGACATGTTCTGGCCAATCAAATGCCACCTTGTCACACTTCAATTTGATTGGTCGGAAAGAGTTTGTTCTTATCATAACTCTTCCTTTCCACAATTATAAATAGGGGTCTTCATAACTCAGAAAAAACACCAGAAGTTATAACAAGAAGCAAGAGAGAGCTCGTGGATCAAACGCCGCAAATTTCTCTACAAGTTCCAGGCTTCAAGCAACCAAGTTCAAGTTCAAGAAATCAAGTTCAAGTTCAAGAACGAAGTCAAATCAAATACAAGGCGTTCAAGATCAAGGCTACTTGTTCGTGATAAAATTCGTGGCAACAATAAAAGTGTTCGCGAAGGATAAATCAAATTAAAATTCAAGATCAAGATCAAAGGCCCTTGGATTTATTTATAATTGGAAAAGTAGAATCTGAGGATTCATAGAGATTGTAACACTCAAATATTCGAAATAAAATACTACGATTGTTGCGATATTTTTTTTTTGGTCTCGATTATTTACCTGACGCAAATTTATTGTCTACAAATTCTGGCACGCCCAGTGGGACAATCTCTACCTCTCATCTCAACTTTTCAATCACCAAAGTTCAAGAACATTGAAATGGCTTCAAAGAAAATCAAATCCGGTTCAACTTCCACCAAGGCTGCTAACTCCAGGTTCTATGCTGATGTGGAAAGCAAAGTACCCCAAGTGCCGTCCGCATCAACCCCTGCTTTCGGATCTTCATCCTCAAAAGGAGCAAGATCTTCCACAAACGCACCTGAAAGGAAGCGATGTTGCTGAAAAGATCAAGAAAACTCTTGCTCTGCTCGACCTCTCCGGATCCAAGCACTCTGCTGTGAAGGAAGATGATGATGCTTCAAGTGATGGATCCTCCCCACTTACACCACATGGCGTGAGCCAATCAAGGATCAATCTGTGTAAAAATCCATACTACTCTCCATCGTCCACGACAATCATGCATCATTTGTGGAGGAGCAATTGGCAAACTTGACGGAAGCAATCGCTGGCTTGACCAAATGCATGCAAAATCAAGAGGCTAGAATTGACAAGCTAACAGATAGGGTGGGAATCTTGATGGAAGAAGAATCCACCCATGCACCCGGCAAACTCCCAGAAATTCAAAAGATCGATCCTTCCCCACGACAGGTTGCATCCACTAAGGAAATTCCAGTCTCTTCGGAAGGGATGATTCCAATCAATCAACTAAAGGAGTTCATTGAAGGGACTATAAAAAACAAATATGAAGTCGCTTCCAAGTCCTCATTTACATACGCAAAGCTGTACACTTCAAGGATCGATATGTTGAAGATGCCTGCTGGCTATCAACCTCCAAAATTTCAACAGTTTGATGGCAAAGGCAATCCAAAGCAACATGTGGCGCACTTCGTTGAAACTTGCAACAATGCTGGGACTTATGGAGATTACCTCGTCAAGCAGTTTGTCCGCTCATTAAAAGGAAATGCTTTTGATTGGTACACGGACCTCGAGGCTGGATCTGTTGATAGCTGGGATCAACTAGAGCAAGAATTCCTCAATCGCTTTTATAGCATGAGACGTACTGTGAGTATAATAGAACTTACAAATACTCGTCAACGAAAGGGTGAACCAGTTATCGACTTTATCAATCATTGGAAGAATGCAAGCCTCAACTGCAAAGATAGGCTTAGTGAAGTTTCGGGCGTAGAGATGTGCATCCAAGGCATGCATTGGGGGCTACGCTACATCTTGCAAGGTATCAAGCCTGGCATATTTGAAGAACTTGCGACTCGTGCCCATGACATGGAGTTGAGCATGGCCTCCGCTGGAAATGAAAGGTTGCCTATCTATGAGCCTCGAAAAGGGAACGACAAGCAAGAAGTCAGGAAACGGAGCAAGTTTGTACCCAAATATGAAGACAAAGAAGCTATGAATGTCAACACATCACCTGTGAAGTTCACAACGAAGGTGAGCAAGAAGCAGAGAATGAAATCCACTTCTTTTCAAGATAAGCCAAGTGGAAAGTTGACTCTAAAAGAAATGCAAGAGAAAGAGTACCCATTTCTGGATTCTGATGTGCCAGCTATTTTTGAAGAACTCCTCGAGTTAAATCTCATTGAGCTTCCGGAGATGAAGCGACCAAATGAAGCTGGGTAAAACAAATGACCCAAATTACTACAAATACCATCGACTTGTGAGCCACCCTCTAGAGAAGTGCTTTATCTTCAAGGACAAAGTTATGGACTTAGCTCGCGAAAAGAAGATCGTGCTTGAAGATGAGAAAGCAAGCGCAAACCAAGTCTCTATCACTTTTGGCTCATTCAGTCCTGATGAATTATGTGGTTTTAAAGAAAGTAAAGATGAAGAATTACTGGAGAACGACAAAGCTGAAGTCAATTAACCTGATGATGATGAAGGTTGGACGTTAGTGACTCGTCGTAGGCACCATAGAAGGAGCCCAGGAAAAGAATTAGTAGAACAACCAACAAGGAAAATGATGGTAAAAAGACCAAGGAAATGGAATCCGGTTAAGCACTTAAAGAAAGCAAAGGTGGAGGTGCACCACTCTCAAAAGCCACGAAATACAATGACCTTGGAGGAGTTTTTACCAAGTTGGTTTCGCACGAAGATTTCCCATGGGGGAATCGATGCCTCTTGCTGCCATGCTGACGAAGGGAGGAAAAGGGTGATGACCTACCGTTGGCACCATCTTCGGAAAAGCTCATCGAGTCCACTCGTCAAGAAGTTAATTCTTGTGAGGAAAAAGTCACGTTCAGAAATGACGATCTTTTGCTAGGTGACACTCTTCATAACCGCCCATTGTACCTAGTTGGCTATATGCATGATGAAAGTGTAAATCGAATTTTGGTTGATGGAGGATCCTCAGTGAACATTTTGCCAATTCTCACTGTGAAAGAGCTTGGAATTCCCATGAACGAACTCTCAGAAAGTCGTGTGATGATCCAAGGATTCAACCAAGGGGGAAAAGAGCCATAGGCGCGATCAGGCTTGAAATCACCATTGAAGATATGCAATCAAAGTGCATGGCTGCATGTAATCGACACGAAGACTTTATACAATGTCTTGCTTGGAAGGCGTTGGATACATGAGAATAAAGTAGTTCCATCTACCTACCATCAATGTTTAAAATACTACGAGGGTGAAGTCGAGAAGAAGATAGTTGGTGATGATGAGCCATTCACTAAGGCTGAGTCACACTTCGCCGATGCAACTTTCTACTTGAAGAATCGCATTGTGAAGGAGCTAAAAGCTGATGATGGCATGAAAATTAAGAATGACGAGCCCACAACTAAAAGAGCAGAGGTGACTACTGGTGAAGCCAAAGCTGTTACTGAAGAGGTACAACCCAACGCGAATAAATCTTATAGAGGGAATATTGCGTCTTATGGCAAAAAAGTAAGTCATGCGCTCCAATATGTCCCTAAAAGGAAGAAATATGAAGGTGAATCATATAATCTCCAAACTAACATGCTAAAGGAGTTAACTCTTCCGGTAAAACGAATCGAGGCAGTAAAGTTGACCTCAAAGCCACTTGCAGGGTTTGTAGCCCAAAATCGTTTGCAGAATGTGGCACTCCCTACAAAGCGAACAGATAAAGGTTTTGATCCTAATGCTTACAGGCTATTTGCAAAAGCTGGATATAATCCTAATGAGCCGTCAAAGTTAGGGAAGCTACCATCAGAAGCTGCGATGAGACAACCACGTGAAGGTTTGGGATACAAGCAACAGTCACCAGTGCGCATCTCCATAAGAAGGGCGAGCAGCAATTATATCACTGTAGAAGATGAATCAACCGCTTCTAACAAGCCTTCTATCTTTGGTTGCTGGGAAAATCACCTGCGGGGACCTCCGTGTTTGAGAGATTGGGTCCATTAAAGAATGGGAACAAGTTCCAGAGAAATTTTCAAAGCATAAGAACACCCGTTTCGCCCAAAATCCAGAAGATCTTTAAGGATTTCCAAAGTTTGGTTCCTTCTAGAATGAGGCGATCATGTAAAGAAATATTGAAGGTAAAGCCATATACTGTGGTCTACACTAAGGAACGTGATGAAGATGAAGAAAGTGTAGGTTCTTCGTATCATGTTACTGTACAAGGCGAGAATGGTGTTCCATCTTTAATGGAGGATAATGCAGAATTGGAGGATGTTTCACCATGTTATCACAAATCCTTCAACGATGGGGACCCTCAAGAAGATGAAGATGCAAAATATGCTCCACTTGAACTTGAAGAAGGAGTGAAGACGACAGTTGATGCCTCAAAAGAAGTTGACCTTGGCACCGATGAAAAACCAAGACCTACCTACCTAAGTGCTTTACTAGAAGTTGATGAAGAAAGCACTTATATTGAGTTACTCAAGGAGTTCAGGGATGTCTTTGCTTGGAGTTACAAAGAGATGCCTGGCTTGGACCCGAAAGTAGCAGTCCATCACCTTGTAGTCAAAAATGGTGCTCGTCCTGTTAAACAAGCCCAAAGGCGCTTTAGGCCGGACTTGGTTCCCTTGATTGAAACCGAAGTTAACAAACTCATCAAAGCTGGCTTTATTCGTGAAGTTAAATACCCAACATGGGTTTCAAGTATTGTCCCTGTAAGGA